CCACCAAGAGTAAAACCAAAATAAAACGGGCACCCATCCGGGAAAGGGGGAAACCCACCAGTTCATAAAAGGTGGCCCACCCCAAAGTAACCCCCAGTCCCCATTGCCCACCAAATTATCCGTTGGGGGGAAAGTTCCACCCCCCCGGGGGGGGGGGGGGGGCAACCAACTGCTGCATCTAGACGATTGGTACACACAATAGAGCGAGAAAATGAGTAAAAGAGCGAGAGCATGAGCAAAAGAGTGAGAGAATGAGAGAGAGCGAGAGAGAGAGAGGCAAAGACAGAAAAGAAAAGCAAACGAGACAGAAAGAAAAAAAATCCACAAAGAGGCAACACAGCAGTAGTTTACAGTCGTACCAGGGAGCGTGGAAGGCTACGAAAGTGAAGTCGTGTTCCAGGAGCCACGTGTCGAAGTTCTCCTCCGTCAGCACCGCGGCGTGAACGCCGTCTTCGTGCAAGTCCTGCTCACGCGCGCCGGAAAACGAGGAAAAAGCCCGAAAGCCAAAAAGTAAATGTTGTGTATCATAAAAACGCCGTCGTGTTTGGCAACACTAACAAGTAGGTAGGCAGGTTCGAAAGAGGCGTTGGTTTGGACCAAAAACTTCGTACTCCCTATATACTACATAAGAAAGACGAAGAAAAATGAGTACGAAAACACCGACATCGCAAAACGTACCTTGGTTGTGCGGCTACTTGGCCAATAGCAGCACAAGGAACCATCACTACGACGACGACGAGATCACCACCGACAAACAGCACTAACCAAACCGAAACGCGACCGACCGCTGGCAAGCAGCAAGGAAGGCCTCGCGATGGAACACCCCCCCAAAAGGGAAACTGAGCTCTCCACGCGGCACAATTTCTCAGAGTCCCAGAGGAGCAGCGGCATACGCATGCTATAATATGACCCAAGAGACAGAACGGACTGCCATGCGCGTGCATACAGTAGCCTAATTCCATCCTCGCCGCAAGTCCTTGGTATTAATCTCGGTCCCAACCCTAGGCTCAACCGCGAACAACTACGCCTCGATCTCAACCATCACCTTGTGCAACCGCCTTCACGCGGCTCTTTTTTTACCCGCTGCAAGCCGAACCTCACCTGTAGGCTAGCCACAACCCCCTCGTCGAACTGCACGATGTCCCTTTGCTGACGGTTTCGCCCGTGGAACGCCTTTTTCAAACCGCCGGCCGGCCGCACAAGAAGGAGCAAAAAAGAAAAAAGAAAAGACGGTCCAGAAACGGAGACAAAGAGAGTCATCAGCAGACAGACCGCAGATACGGCAGCAGCAGCAGCAGCAGCAGCAGCAGCAGTCACACCGCCACACACCATGGTGCAAACAGAATGATGCACGTTGCTGCGACACACGACACTGCGCCCGAAGCCGCCGCGCGCCCCAGCGTGTCACCGTCAGGAGGGTTTGCAACACTCGCGACCACGACCACTACCACAACAAAGAAAAAAAAGTTCAAGGAACCCCACTTGCGCGATCGGTCGGTAAGACACACGTAAAATAATTTACCTGCTTGACGCCCTGTGGATCCAAGTGCCACTTCTGCACTTCCTTTCCTGATGACGAGGGGGGAGAGGGACGCAGCGCAGAACTGCAGGTGAGTTCGATGGACTTAGATACGAAAGGATTTGGATGCTGGAGACCAACCAAGGAGGTTGATACTTTTTTGTGTGGTGGCTTCGTCGGCAATTTTTCGACATTCACAAGGTCGACTCCTTGTGGGCGTACGTCTTGTGGGGGGGAGTGTTATAGAATAGAAAAGCCGCCCACTGCCCACTCCCTCCCTCCCACCGTAAAACTTAACACTCCAAGTCATCCGCCGTTTCAACAAGATGCGTGACAAGACGATTCGCAAACGCACCAAAGGTGACAACACTTCGGCTCGGCGCCGCGTGTAATCGGATACATCCTTTTGGCTCAAACGCCATCCAACACTGATGCAATCAAGACATACTTGCGCATATCTACTGCTCACGCAGACACAATCTCTCTTCTGAGTTTTAATTTGCCAAGCGTGTGCCAAAAACCCACGGGTGGAAAAAATATGCAAGCACCAACAGCCCTCAGTTCTCATAAGCATTTCGCACTCATCGGCTCATCAACTGCCACGCTACCTCTGACCGGGCCATGCTTCCAGGCACCCCCACATTGAGGCATGCGGGTCACACGGCCTAGTCGTCGATGCTGGCCAAGCCTAGCGCAAAGGTAAGTCTTCGTCATAGGGCTATCAACAAAACGAAAGAAAACATCTCGTTGTCAGTCTCATGTTGTACTCTTTTTTTTTGTACAAAAATGCAACAAGTTCGTCTCTTCCATAGAAAAAAATACGAGAGATGTTCTTTCTGTCCCTGAAAGAACACCCGACCACGGAAGTAACAAGTGCTGTGACATTTGGCTTTGCAAAACCGACATCGAGCGCCAGGCCCTAACCTGCACGTCTGAATGAACCACTGCGGCGCTTTTCTTCCACATCGGGCGGCCTTTCATGTTGTTGGTTATATGCGTAACGGTAAACACGTGTGCATACATCCATCCATACAACTGATCACTTCCGGAGTGGGTTCACTACAGCACAGCAGTGTCATAAGGGGTGATGCATGATGAAAACAAACGCAGGCAGCAGGACGAACCCACAGCTGGCTGCCAGCCGTGATGACGTTCCCAAGCCCAACAGCTAACGTGCTTCTTGACGCGAACAGCTCAGCGAACCTCAACGACCCACAACAAGAAAAATATGCGCATCTGTAACAGCAGCAGTCTAATACTCTGCCGTCGCATTATATGAGAAAGGCTGTCGTAATGCATGGTATGCATACCGGTGATGTTGACGCGGTTACTCCCGAGGACATCGAGAGCGTCCACCGAAAGGTACTCGCACGGAAGGTCCAGGAAGCTCATGTTGAAGTTGATTTGGAGCTGTGCGGGATCAAACGAAAAAAAAACAGAGTTCGGCCGCACGTCCGTTCGGTTGGTCAGACGACTGCACGCCAAGAACCCTGATTGGTCGATTTGTTGTTTCTATGGGGGTGGTCGTTGTTGTTGGTATACCCCAGGGGGGGGTCGCGGTATTTTGTGCTCGTTATGTCCTCAAATCATAGGCATGGGACAATCAGCTCTCGACGGTCGAGAAAATAACTTCAGATCCCGACAACCCTCTCTTGGTTTTCTACATGTACCCTTCCAGCGGCCTCTTTAATCTGGGCCTGTAAAAACAAGCGGGAGATGTCGAGCCGCGAGTGCCCCCGATCTCCCATCTCCTACGCTCTAGACATGCGCCTGCCTTGTACGAGCGCGCAAACATCGCAGTCCCTTGCGACACTTGAGGGTATAGTCGTGCCTGCCGATCGTGTAACAAGTTTGGTTAGCCGGGATGCCCCTATCAACCTTAGGGCATGCTGGTTCTGCCCACCAATCGCGAGGATGATGACCAGCTTCTGGTTCGTACTTGTTGAAAACGTTGCCCGGGCCGGCGAAAACCCGGCATATCGCTTCCGGCGTTGTACGGATGTGAGGTTTATGGTCTACCAACAACGGCATGCGTTTTCATCAGTGCACCCTTCCCCCGCCTAGACATTTCAGCTCACAGTCTGTGAACGGCCTGAAGGAACGTGAGCAGCCTTCGCAGTTTTTTTTGTTGGATGAAGCATACAATCGGGGAAGTTTGGGTTAGGGTTGGGGTTAGGGAATACGGTCTGCGTCCCCCCCTCCCTGTTCTATTTCCTCATAAACTTAATAATCGCGCGAAGGCGGTCCAGGAACGTTGCTACCCCTCAAAACAGGTATACCCGACCAACCGGTCAAGTCCCAGGCAAGCGAGCAATCAGGAGTAAATCCCTCCCCCCACTAAATCAGACACAAACGATCATCGCTCCCATGGCTCGCTCGAAACACGGCAGGAACCCCCTGACCTAAGCGTGGCAAGCAAAGGTCATCCGCATGCCCGTATATGAACTTCCCCCCCGAGGCCCTAACCCTAATTCCTGCGAAGGCAGTATCCCTTGTCCTGTGGCCTTGTTCGAAGAGAGACGTCGCCAAAACGGGCTGCTGTCCCTCCGCAGAACAAGTGCCGACTGCTGTTGCGCAACGCGAAGTTGTAACAGGTACAACTGCTGTACAGTGCTACGTTCCTCCACGACTACATCCTGTACATGTGTTGCACGGCCTCTCTGTATTTTGTACCCACCTTATGTAGAGAATGTAGCGGTGCTACTATTTGGCACTCGTATGTATGTGACTCGTACCTAACATTCGTATCATATCCGTACATATCAGCACGCGTCTGTTGTCACCGAGTCTGGCACGATATGTAGGACTTCCTTGCAATACAAGGTGAACGTGCCATCTGGCAGCAGCTGACAGGATCACCGTCACTAACAAGGACGAAGGCCTGGCACACCCCGGCAAAAGCGTATTTCGTGCTGCTGTATGCAAGCGTAGAATAGATCCAACCAGTGTGCGGCCGGCGGCAGGTAAAAGTGCGGCGCAATTGTACCTTCTCCCACACTCGTAAGATGTTCTTGTTCTTTCACAGCCGTACGGAGAGTTTCGAAAAGGGGGTTGGCGATTGTTGCAACCGGCAAGCCAGGGCCTTGTCCCCCCTCTCTCGTGGGTAGCTCAGCTATGACGTGGGTCATGTGGGCTACCGTGACCAGACCACCCCTACAACAGATGGACGCGTGAGAGAGAGGAAAGAACGAAAGAACGCTCTCCTCTGATTTTTGTCCGCACAACGACGTGGTCCTGCTGTGTACAGCACATAATCGCCTTCTCCTCCTCTGACCTATTGCAAGCCCTGCCTGTTACGCGCTCATCAAAATTCGATTTCCTTCAGGAGAGACGGAGCGCATCGCCCCGGTTCCCGTCACAGCAGTCACACGGAAATCCTCCTGGCGCACCTTCGTCTCGAGCACGTTGTCCACCACGACTTGGCTCTCGATCGGCGCCGACATAAACGAAAACAGCTCCACCTGGAAGAGCAAGAGCATTATCACCCCAGTCAAGGTCGAAAACCATCCTCCCACTGCCGTCGACTGCGACAGGTCCGTGGGGATCTTGGGGTACAGATCGAGCAACCGCCAGGCACCCATGGTCGCCGAGTTGACGAGCCTTCGCTGCAGCAGTGCAGTGCACAGCAGCACAGCAGACCAAAAGCCCTTCTCCTGGGGAGGAACGCAGAATCATGAATCGCGTTGCGTGATATCCCTACCCCGTTTGCTTCCCTCTACAATTGTCCGATCTGCGGGGACTCTGACACCACCACCACAAGTAGTAAAGGTATAATAGGATTTTGACCTCTCACCACCGGACCAGTCAGCGTATGGATTTTTAGAAGGTGCTGAGCAGAGGTCGGGGCGTTTTTCTCGTACATGTTCACACTTCACACAACAATAGAGACAGACGTGAGGCGTTGTGTTCGGAAATGGACCCTTGTACTGTATGTAACCCTCCGCCGGAGATATTTTGAAGTCGAAGTCCCACAGCCGTACTCAGCGTGCATGCGCTCGTGCACTCTGCTTTGCGTGCAAAGAGATCTTGCCCTTGGACTTTCCACCCTCTCCGTCATGCTTTCGTCGTGTCGGGGTGTACCACAGGTTGTTGCAGCATGCAGCACAATTTCGCTGGGAGACGTTGAAAATACGAAATACAGCAGCAGCAAGTAGTAGCGGCCCCTACCTACAGCAGTGTCACGACGAGATGTTGCCGCTATTCAAGGCAGGTCGCTAAACCGAACTACCAGTTATATTGCGGGTATACTAACGGGGGTGCGGCGGTGCGACGTGGTTTTGTGGTCACTAAACAGGGCATGGCGCTTAACAGGGGACAAACCGCCCCCTCCACCGTAAGCAGCTCTGCGGCTGAGAACGCATAATAAAAACCGTGTAGAGACGCAAAGCGTCCGCCTTGTGTGCCCTTTTCGATTGGCGATCTCCGCGTACAATATTTTGCTTTTTTATCCCTGTGGCATTGCTGTTGTCAGCAGCCACAACTCAACAAAGTTGGAGCACGCCACTACTCGCTACATAACACGATACCAGACGAGATACTTGAACACGGTACAGAAGCAGCGACCTTCCCGTCATTTCTGCACGCTCGGCCAGAGATTTCGAGCCCACCGTTTGCCTTCTGCTCGACGAGACTAACCTAACCGTGTCGCCTTCTGGAAAACTTGACAAAAAACAGCTGGCAACTACAAAGAAGAACGGAAAAACCTCTGCAACACAAGAATTGCCAAGGATACGCAACTCCTTGCCAGGCCGCCCCGTCCTCGTCAGCAGTACAAGCCCACGTCCATCGTTTCAGGAGTTCAGGAGTCATTCCCATCTCCCCCCTCTCCCGGTCTTTCTGGTTCTTACTCCAAGTTCAACTCGAGACTTTTCATTGAGCGATGGGCTTTTACTCGTGCTCGGTTGTTGCTGGTACATACTGCTGCGGGCACAGACACAACACCGGTACAGCATCATTCGTCTAGAAGCACTCCCTCCGACAACAGAGCAATCGAAAACCACCACAAGGCCGCTACCCACCCCCACCATCTGCCGTTTCGACCGAACCGGTACCGTTTCTGTGTGTCGCCGTTCTTTGTGGTCCATCTTTCCCCTGCACGCGGTTCTTAACCCAGGTTTTCTAAAAACATTTTATGATGTTGTAAATTTTTCAAGTTGCTGCCTGCATGTACGTGCTTGTCTCGATCGTGTCGGGCAGCTCGGGGATGTCCACCTCGAAGCGGGACTGCACTTCCTCCAGCTTCTTGGCGTCAGACTCCGTCGATACGAACGAGATAGACAGACCCTTGGTGCCGAACCTGTCGAACGGAAAGAGGGAGACACAGAGAGAGAGCGAGTGTTTGCGTGAAACAGATAGAACAACGACTTGTAGAGCGCAAAAGATAAAGCGACAAACATCGGCCTGATCGGTACTGCAAGCCGTTGGCAGTATACACACTTCGACAAGGGAGGAGAAAAAAAAAAACGCATGTGTCACGGCCTTGCGGCAGTCAAGATCGGCTTGAAGAAAAACCGATGCCACACCTACACACACCGACTTTTGCTGCCGTTCGAAAAACGCGTACTACAACTAGGACTACGCTGGCCCTGTGCTACTGATTTCATTATTTAACACACGCCACTCCCGGCCGTCCATTGCGGCCTACTCTCACAGACAAGGTCCGATCCAGACTCCTCGCTGAAAACAAAAAAGAAGCCGGTTCTTTTCTCACCGTCCTGCGCGGCCCACACGGTGGAGGTACTGGTCCGAGCCGTCGTCGCCGTCGGGGAAGTCGTAGTTCACCACGATGTTCACGCGCTCGATGTCGATGCCGCGGCCGAAGAGATCGGTGGCCACCAGGATGCGCTTCTCGAAGTTCTTGAACTGCTTGTAGCGGTTTGTCCTGTGGGGCATGCGACAACAAATGTTTACGGGATGGGGCCGGCGTAGAGTTGAGCTACATGCGCTCGACACTTCTCGTCGAACTGCTGGCTTGTAAATAGCGGTTTGTCCCGCAGGGCACGCCACAACTAGAGGGTGTACGCAAAACTGAGCTACGAGGCCTTGGGGCAGAAAACTCTTATGCAGATAAATAGACACGCTGTCCTTCTACACATGCACCACGTAGTGTGACATAAACAAGAAGTCTTATCCTTTGCACCATCTTTCGAAGGACTGGTGTACCACCCACAGACGCACAACAACGACTTGTTTTGCGGTCCTTGACTTGGCATCCATCTCACAGTTCATTAGTCTGTTCCCTGCGTGTTGTTTGTCTGCCATCCCTCCCCCCCTTCCCTCTTCCCCCCTTCCCGTGTCACGTCCTTCGGTTCCATAAAGTTAGCACTCTGCAAATAATGGTATGTTCGTTCGGCCGTCATCCCCCCACCCAGAAATTTTTTTCGTCTCACACGCAAGTCATTGCGTATTCAATCACTTCGTCCCCCATCTCAAGAACGGCTGCGTGATTTTCGTCTAAATCCCTCGCCACGCCACATGACAAGACGCAAACCAAAACTGAAAAATGAAACACATCAAAACTGTCTCTCGTAGATGGTGACGTCACAAAGACCTGTCGGAGATCTACCTTCGCGGTGTTGCCACCGACAATAGAGTCAGTGGACACGCTGAGCCCGCGTACAAGCACAGCGAGCCAGCCAGCTGCCCCCCGTTCTTTCAACCCGCTACCGCAGCACATCTCTTTTTAACCTCTCTCGCCGTGAGTGGTTGAGCCTGGTGGCTCTACACACCACACGTCCCACAAGCAAAACCCAACGTCACAGCAGAGCATGCGAGCCTGGAGACCTACATACGTCTCAGCGTCAGCGGCAGGACTCGGGGCATCCTCGTCCATCTCGACCCAGCACCTCTCTCTCGATCGGGGGTGCGACGAATGGGAGTTTCACGTGTGGGGCGTACAGGGAGTCGGACGACTGACCCCGCTGCTTCATCCAACACACACAACAAACACCTTTCCCCCAGATCGATCGCGCGTTCCGCTCTGGTTGTCGCGATATCTCTTCTCTCTCTGCTTATCTTCCTCAAAAGGCACGCACACACGCACCTCTCCTCCTGCTTGAGGCGGGAGTGGATCACCAGGGACGGGAAGTTGCAGAGGTTCAGCAGACGGTCCAGCTCCACAGCCCTGTCCACCTTCGAGCAGAAGATTACCACCTGTGGTCCAAACACCACAATGAAGGGGGGGCGGAAGGCCGGAGTACAGCATTGTGAGGGGGTGGGGTCAAGCGGCATACATGAAACAGCTGTGCCCCCAGGAGGACAGCATCAGCTTCGACATGAGATAGTCAAGTTTCAGCAGTCCTACATACCGAGAACAACTACAGAACAACTCAGTACAATGACAAGCAAAAGTGGTGTACCACACAACGTACTGTAGCATATGGCATTTAGCAATCGAAGAGTGACACAGCAGTACCCACCTGGTTGAAGTCCAGGAGGTCGAGCAGGTCGTTCAGCTTGCGGTTCTTCTCCGTCTCCGCGAGCTTGATGTAGTACTGCTGGAGACCGTGCAGGGTCAGCTTCGTCTCGTCGTCCACGTAGATCTCCATCGGCTGTTTTTTTGTTGTTTTGTCGTATTCGTACACCCCCCCCCCCCCCACACATTTTTTTTTGTTGCCACACACACAAAAGGGAGAGCAAGGCAAACGGGAAGGAGACGAGGGGCCAAGGCGAGAGAGAGACAAAAAAGAACGGATCAAAATAAATAATAGAGGAAACGGGGGGCTACACGACCTCATGCGTGCTCATCGATGTCCAGTCACAAAAAAAAATGCTACTCTCGCTACATCAACCAACCGAACCAATCCATCTACCGTTTCGAGTTCACAGAGCGATAACCGACTGCAACAAGCGAGTCAACATACTCCTCGATGAGAATAAAAGCCTCGTTCGAAAAAGCGGGAGCGGGGCACGCGAGGGGGCAGTTAGCTCGACAGAAAGAAATTGTTTCGAAGCGTCAAGAACCCGCTACAACGGCGAACGGTGTACGGAACACGGCGCCCGAGCTCCTCCGGGAAATCCATCTCATACCAAGCGCACGCGGCGCTGCAAGTGGTGGAGGGCTGGCGGCCTCTTGCGGTGCTGTAGCTGCTGCTGCACCATCGCAGGGCCGCCAAACAAGGGAAGGAAGCTCTACCGCCCTTTCTCTCGGATGAACCAGCCCACCGCCGTACCCAGCCTCCTCCCACGCTCTCTCTTCTCTTACACGCTTCTCAGCTGCCTCTCTTCTCCCCTCGCGGCGGGGCGAGAAGGGAGGAAACCCTTCCCACTATCCCATCCCATCCCATCCCATTCCGCGGTGCCGGGAGTTGGCGACGGTTGAGACCGTCATGACGGGGACGGGGATTCCGCGTGTTTTCGTGACTCTGCCACAAGAGCCGCGAGGTGATTCTTGTGGTTTCGTCTTGCTACACACCGCGGTCTCCCTCATGTTTCCTCCGCCATTCCAGTTCGCCCCCGCACCCCATCCTTCGCCTTCGATGATGGCCGCCGGAAAAGAAAAAAAAACTGAAAAAAAACTGAAAAAAAACTCCCCCTCCCCTTCCCATATCTTGAGAAGACCTTCCGGCGCAAGCACAAATGGACCCGCTTGCCAAAATAAAAAAAGTCGCCCTTGCGTCGAAAACACATGAGTCATCCTGAGCTGGGCCTCCTGGTAGCCCCGCGTCGCCGGGCTTTACATACCCAGCGCTCCTCGGCGCCCAAAAGCCGTCCGCGTGCCCCCCCCCCCTCTCCCCCGTCGCTCCGTAGACGCCAAAAAACTAGAAAAGCCTCTTTTGAATATTTGTTGAAATTTTGAGTGTTCGGGAAGTGGGTGTGGAACAGCAGCTTGGACCGCCGCCGGCCGCGGGTTTTCTTTTTTGTCTCTCTTTCGTTTGTTTTCAGCGGCGGCGGCGATCGTCTCGGTGCTGCTGCTGCTGCTGCTGCTGATGGGGCGGCGGCGGCGGCTGCTGCTGCTGCTGTGCGTAGTGATGTTGGTGTGGCACCGAACCTTCTCGTGGCAGAACTTGCGGCAGATGGGGCGGACCTCCGGGCTGAGCGTCGCGGAGAACATCATGACCTGCTTCGTGTGCGGCGTCTTGAAGAAGATCTCCTGCACCTGGGCGCGCATGTCTGCAGTCCACGTTTTTTTTTTTATTGCGATGACGGCGGACAGCAGTGCGGTAGGTCGGGATCGGTGATCGGTGTGTCCGTGTCGTTGTTGTCGTCGGTGGCAGCAGGGTGTTTTTGGTCGTTGGTTTCGCCAACCCGACCACGCGCAAGTAAAGGAGAGACAAGAGCGAAGGTGGAGCGTTGTGGCGGGAGGAGGGGGGGGGGGCGCCGTCAAAAGTCTTGATACGCAAGGAGACCATCGATCCAACCGCTGTGCCACGCGTCTGTCAAAACGCCGATAAAAACCGAGCAGCCTCGCCTGGCCAAAAAAACAAATCTTTCTTCTTCCGTCGTCCGCATATCGACAGGCGTTTCCACACTCTTGTACAATGAGGGGCAGAAAAAACACAAGACGATCTCACACGTCCCGCATGTATTGTAGCCCCCCACCAAAATAGGGACGGTGCAGACAGACCAAATCAGCATGCCTCAATCTGAATAACCTTAAGCTCTCATCTCTATGCGTCGATGTATCCCTCCATGGCCTAGTCGACTCTTCACCCTCTCGGCCTAGCATCTACGCGCCATCACCGGGACAGCACTTCTACCCGATGACCGCCATTTGGCTCCTCGCCCTTCTGCTCCAGCACTCATCGACGACCAATCGTCGACTCTACCCTCTCCTCTAACCGCAACAACAACAACCACCACCACCGACCAATCCTCAAAACGAAAGGGCTCCGCTGTTCTCCTCCCTACATAAGACTAACCAAACCCCGACTCAAGAAAAAAAAGGCTTCTTGTTCTCTCACCCTCCTGAACCACCCATTTTTTTTAGAAAGTCAACATAAGACTGTACCCGTCCGAGATATGAATCCAGTCGATGGGAAGGTGCTGAGGTCTTCCAACAGACTTTTTTATTTCTCTCTTCTGTTCTCTCACCCTTCTGGTCCAGCATCTTGTCGCACTCATCGAGGACGAAGTACTGCAGCTTGTCCACCTTCAGGTCCCCCTCCCGCACCAGCTGCATCACACGCCCGGGGCAGCCAACCACGATGTGCGGAGTGTCATTCTTGAGCATCTCGCGCTGCTTCTGCACCGGCAGGCCGCCGTACAGCACCGCCACCTTCACCTCGGGAAGGTGCTTGCAGAAACGCTCGTACTCGCGGGCGATCTGCCACGCCAGCTCGCGCGTGTGGCACAGAACCAGGCAGCTCACCTGTTTTTTGAAACGAGGCCGGAGAAGAGGACGGGGATGATGGTGGCGGTGGGAACGGGATGGTGATTATCGTGCACCACTACATACGGAGGGCTGGGGTGGCATGTACTTTCGTCGATGGAGATTGTTGGCGTTTGATTGAGCAAGCAGTGTGCGTGTGTGAGGTCGCCATGTTTCTGTTGACGATTCATGGTAGCCTAACTGCAATTATTGGGAGAAAACAAAAAGGGGGCGGCTTTCTGGGCCATATTTGTATCCATCAGTGGTCTGCCTGCATGCCAGTGTGTCAACCACACACCATAGCCTCGAGAGACCGAAAGAGTGGGAGGATGCCCAAAAGTCATGGCAAATACCTGCTGCAGCCATTAACTAAATTTCAAAAAAAGTCACCGCACAAACAGCCAGCCGGCCTTTGGCTGCAGGGTGCCCAGCGGGCACGCCCGCCCTTGGTTCGGTCAGCGGACACAGCAGGGAAAACCCAGGTGAGTTTCACCAAAGAAGGACTCTCTTCCTCTCTCTCTCTCTCTCTCTCTCTCTCTCTGTCTCACCTCTCCCGGCTGGGGGTTGAGCTGGTGGAGGGTGGCCAGCACAAACACCGCCGTCTTTCCCATACCGGACTTGGCCTGGCACACGATGTCCACGCCCAGGATGGCCTGGATGGAGTATACCGAAACGAATACCAACGAGGGCCCGCCAACGAACCGACGGGGGCGTTGTCGTGTCAGGGAAGAGGCACAAGGAGGTCGTTCGATTAGACGCCACCGGCGGGTAAGGCCCGGCATTTCCCCACTCTGGCAAAATCCATGGCAACCTACAACACCCAACCTCCCCCCCCGCGTGATCCACAGCACGTATTGAACAAACAGCCAACACAGGGTTTCGCCAGGAGACGTACACACGCACAGCAGTCACACGCACCAACAAACCTGCTCTAAAATGCTTACAAACATGGCACTGCAAAGAGACATACCATACACCCGCACGATGGCAAACAGGCCTGAAACATGGCACCGACCACGGGACATACCATACACCCGCACAACCAAAAAGCAAACCCGCCGCAGCCGCCGCACCTGAGGGATGCACTCGTGCTGGACCTCGGACGGGTGCTCGAAACCGCAGTCCACCACCGCGCGGAGAAGCTCGGGCTTGAGCAGGAAGTCCCTGAAGCCGGAGGCGTGGATGCCAACGTAGTGCCCCTTCTTCGGCCCGCCGCCGCCGGCGGCCGCCCCCGCGCCGTCCTTGCCGCCGGCCCCGGCGTCGTCCCCGGCCTTGGCGTCCACCAACGCCTCCTCATCTTCCTCGTAGTCGAGGAGCTCCTCCTGACCCTTGTTGTCTTCGGTGGCCATGATTTTCGAGGAGGAAAGTGTGTGTGTGTCTTTGGCTTGAGGTCTTGTGTGATGGTACTCCTGTTGGTTTTATTGGCGCTTATAAAGACCTGTGGGGGGGTTGGAAGAGAAGGGAGATGGGAGTTCCAGCGTTGGGAGAAGGGGGGGCAAACGAAACGGCCGGAGGGAGGTACAGAAAACAACGGAGAGGATGACACGTGAAGGGAGGCGAAAAAAAAGGAGGGGAGAAGGTCACGTCAGGATGCGCACAGCAGCGGGTAAAAGTAGTTTGCATGGGCGTGACATGGACTTGCCTGTCATGGGAGGGATATATGCGGCATCCGCGTGTTTCACCTACTTTAAAATGGAGCAGCAACGAGTTAATGAACAGTTTTCGTAAGCGAGGGTGATGCGCAGCAGCATCAGCAGAAGCAGCCCCCCTGCCGGGCTAATTTCTCTTGCCCTAATTTCAGCTAGGGCGTCCCAAAGTCGAACGACAGGTTGTCGGAAATCTGTCGAATCGGTGCCCTCGAATTGAAGCCGCCAAGCGCGCGCGCGGGGGGGGGGGGCACGCTCCACAGCAGGGACGGCGGCTCAACCGCGTGTATAGGCCGTATAGACAACGTCTCTCCCCCCCCAAAAAACAAAGACGGCGTCTCTCCCGTGCAAAAATTACGCGGCGATGCACGATGCAAAGTATACCAGAAAGGAGGGCGCTGCAGCTGCTGGGATGCGTGGCGTCGCCAATACTGAACAGCAGGAGCGCCTGCAGATTCGCGCTCTCGTTTGTCATCGGCGACATGTGCATACTCCACAAATACGTTGGATTGGAGGGAGATTGCCTCCCCAGGGGTTTTGGAGAGACAAGATCGAAGAGAGAGAAAATAAAAAAAATAAAAAATAAATCTTCAAAAAAAAGCTCCATCGAACCCAGGATCAAGAGGGGAGCAAGGAAGGCGGGGAGAGAGTAAAGAGCACGCAAGCAAATGAGACAATCACTGGCTTGTACACCCTGGGGTGTAGAGTCCGCCAGTCACGGATGATTTCAATGCATACGAGAGCTGTTTCGAATCCGGCACGGGTCTTTCCGGCTACCGTCGGCCACAGACAGATGCCCCATTTTCCATTTTCCACAGACTCCCGACACAAGGAAGGCCCTGACAAACCAAGGATATCTTACTCAGGATTGGAGGGAGTTCGAACACAACCGCGGGATCAACACCACCCATGGCCAGGTGGCGTCCCCTCGTCTCCATGACGGGCCTGTTTCCTAACCGCCCCCCTGAAAGCTGAGTCTTTTACCAGACGAATAGGCAGGCCGCTCCCACCACGCCCGTCAAACAAAACAAAAAAAACGCGCGCTCGATCTTGGTGAAAATAACAAGGCTGCCGAGGAACCGTCTTGCGAACGTCTTGCCCACCAGAGAGCATAGGCAATTCATCGTCTTTGATATCGCCTTCCTCTCACCTGTCAGTATTGTTGGCGCACGGCGTGTGTCGATGATCCGCCACCGCAGCAGGCCCGCCGCGTACGCAAGGTTGGAGGGGAGCCGCGAATGAAAGCCAATAATACAGGTATGCATAAACCGTCGGAAAAATCGATAAATAGAGGGGGGGGGCGGGGGGGGGGGTCAATAAGCGGCAGGACAGCAGCAATGACAAGCCAAGCGCCGTGCACACCTTGATCATGATGCGACGACGCGTGCCTGTCGGTAGCGTGCTGCTGGTAGTATGCGTGGCGGTGGGTGGTGGCGGTGATAGCGGCAGCGGCGACGGGCATCGCACCGTAGTCACGGGGTTCTCGGCCCCTCCTCAACCTTCAACCGCGGCGTGGGGACGACAGCAGTCAAGCACACGCGCAACCAGCACCACAGGCACCACAACAATGCAGCAATGTGGATTGGCAGCAGCTTCCTCCCGGCGGCATCGGCGGAGACACCGCTGTGGTTCTTTTGCTGCAGGCGGGCTCGGTTGTGGCGATGGCGAAGCGCAAGCGATGGCAAGCTCCGCAGCAGCAGAGGTTGCTGCTGCGGTGGTACCCGGCGTTCTCCGACGAATGTCACCCTCTTCACGTTCAACAGCAGCAGCAGCGGTAGCACCGCTTGGTGCCCGCCCGCCCACCACGGAGGAGATGGACGCGGAATGGGAGGGGATCCTCTCTGACGATGACGAGCAAGAGGATGTGGATGATGAAGACGACGAAGACGATGATGCAACCGCGATGCTCAGCGACGAAGAGCTTCTTGCGACGGACGCCAGCGAGGGCGGCCTGTTGGGCGACGAGGCGGAGGGGGAGGAGGACGAGCAGGAGGAGGAGGGTGTTGAGCGGGGCCGAGGGCGGAAGCCGCGCGTCTGGTACGACAGCTACAAGGCGCGCATGAAGGCGGAGAAGGCGAAGGAGGCCGCCTGGCAGGAGAAGCGGAAGACGTTCTCCAAGGCGCACAACGACTACCTGGACGAGGCGCAGCGCAACAGGGAGATCGCGGCCGCAAGGTGACCCCGAGCTCTCAGCCCAGGGGGGCAAAACCAGGAGGTCTGCTCGATTGGGTAGTATGCATTCTAGGAGCATTTTATGCAACAGTGCATAGCCGTGCTCTCTATCGGCGGCTGGTACATCCAAAAGGGTAATCCTGTGTACGAAATGCGGTCGTTCCTTGACGTTCTTTTGTCTCCGTTACGGTGGTCTGATTTCCCTGCCGCAGCGCCGTCTGCCCCTTGCCGTCGAACGCTTGGTTGCTGTTGGGGACTGGCTTGTCGACGGGACCCTCCTTGATTGTCCCCCACAAGACTAGATCGTGCAATCGATTTCAGCAGTGGCAAGGGGGCAGCGTCCACTGGTTGTCTGTACTGTTTCACATCCGTTTTGACGCACGGGTTCGAGGAGAGTACTCCTGTAGGTCGTGTACGTGTAGCGTCGGATGGCCCGCGGTGGCAACATAGGGCAACTTCACTCGGGCTCTAAGCTCTGAAAGTACCCAATCACCCCCCCTGGGATCAGAGAACGATACGCTCTCCCTTTCTTCGCTGGACGCAATGACGACAAGCGAGTGTGGGTAATCCCACACACCGCTCGACAGTTGCGGATTTATTGGAGTCGCAGAATTCGCTCCCACCGGATGTACGTTCGGCGTGGGACTCACCTCGCCCTGCGACTCATCAACCTCGCCGTTCAATTGAAACGTTAAACTAAACGCGGATTGACGAACAACCGTCACACAGGCGGGAGAAGTACACGAAGAAGTTCTACCGCGACAAGAAGATCTACGACATCGTCAAGGAGAGGGGCAGGAAGGCCGTCAGGGAGGCGACCTGGGCCACTAGGTGAGGAGAGACAACACAGCACAGCCGTAGTGCTTGGGGCGATACATTGCTTGCCCAAGGGTTTAGGCTTTCCGGCAGAGGCGTCCAGTCGGTCTGACCGAACTCTCAAGGTAACACCAAGGAGCCCCCCGCAATGACGGGAGTACACCATGCAACCATTACACAAGCTGGTCGGGCGCTTGTGTCTGCTGCACTTTAGGCTCCCCGTCGCCGCAGAGTCGTCGTGGAGACGGACGGACATTCGCAATGACGAAGCGCTTGACCTGGCGTACCGCAGCGGCGTGCCGTGATACCAGCTCCACTGCGGGTTTTCCATGGTGCAGCGGGCTCGTTCCCTACTGACCGCCCCTCGCCCCCCCTGGCAGTTCACACCCAGCTCCACCTGTAACGCCCCCATTAGTGCCGGCACAACGTTTTTCAAGACACGACAAAGCCACCACCTTCGCCCGGTCGCCTCTTCCCTTATCCCATCTGCTCTGCGGGCGCGCACGACGTGTGATTTGATGCGATTCGACCCGCTGCCGTTTCGGGCTTTGCTTCGTTTCCAGGTGGCCGCGACAGGTCACTCGGAAGCTGGAGGACCTTCAAGAGGGCGAATGGATCAAGGGCAAGGTCCGCAACGTTGAGAGGTGGGAAAAACTGCTCGCGGTCCGATCCACGCCACCGGTAGTGTTGGTGCGGATATTGAAGATTGTCACGCTGCTGTTGTGCAGCCGTCTTCTTTGAAGTATTGATTCTTGGAGTGCCGAGGTCCGTCTTTCGGTGTTGTACGGGGGTAAACCTGCTTGTGGAACAGTATGTGAACCTACGTAGCGACGCAGGACTGAGCGCGTCAGTATGTTTAACTTAGGTACCGTAGGTGGTGTAACAGAAGATATCACACCCCCTGGACCGATTTCCAAAGATTGATTAACGCGCAGCAGAAAGAGTGGCAGTGCCGAAAATGGCGACGTTGAACCGCCTCGTCGAGAGCTTTCCGAAAACGTATCGGTTAATTTGTACGTTCTCTTCGTCGTCAGAGAAATCGATGTTTGCAAATCGGTGGACGGGGTGTGACATTTATCTTGTTGTCACCTACGGTATGCATGTCAAAATCCACGAAATCCGTAACCGTGTTTTCCGTCTTCCTCCCTGTTTGCCGGAACAACTCAAACGACGCGGGTCGCCGCGCCTCCATCCGCAACCACCGGCGAATCACGACGGCGCCTAACCTGTGAACGACGACGATGAATACGATGGCCCGATTCTCTGCCGACAAACAACTGCGACGGCAACCCCCCCCCCTGCCCTCGCGGAACAACACCGTAATACTGGATAGCTACGGGGCGTGGGTGGACGTCAACGCTGAGCGGGACGGCCTTCTGCACGTGAAGGACATGGGAGAGACGTTCACGCCCTCCGCGGGGGAGGTGGTGGCCACGAAGGACATCATCCAAGCCAGGGTGAAGTTCGTCGACCCTGTCACCGGCAAGCTGGGCCTGTCCCTGGTGGAGGTGAGGACGTTAAATAGTGGGGGCATCACCAGTGAGTGCAGGAAGGGGTTGGGTTGCTCGAGGGGCCGACGACGCTTTTGTTACTGCCCGCCCACAAAGGCATGCAAAAACATGAGTATCACCTCCCACCCTCTCGGCCGCGTTCCCTCGCCCACTCCGTACGTACTAGGACGGGCCGCGAGAAGGGGACCTGCCGCTGCCCCCTCCCCGCCCGCCGATATCGGTGGCCGATGTGTCGCGCGGCGCGGAGCTGTGGGGCTACGTAGAGCGCGTGACAAACATGGGCGCGTACGTGAATGTTGGGGCGGAGGTGCCCGGTTTCCTGCTCCTGAAGGAGATACCCGGCAGGCCTAGGGTGAGGCGGCGCCTTGGCGGGGAGGGGGGGTTGCGGGGGTGCTGCTCCTGTTGTCGTTGATGCCGGTGCAATGCCATGGTTCGTGTTGCCATGCAGCGCGTTTGTTTGGGTTGTTGTTTTTGACTCATCAACGATTGCACGGTTTTCAGTGTAGTGGTGCTAATTGTTTCGGGTGTTGTCGGTGCTCCGGTCTACTTTTAGTCCTCCGGCCTCCCGGGTAGTTGCTGACTTTACTCATCCCAGCCCCCGGTTCCCCCCCCCGGCGGGATGGTGCGCTTTTTTTTGTTTTTCTACCTACTCGCCCGTCGTCCTCGCTTGCCGCACACACCGTGGACACGGCCGAAAGGCACACAAATCTGAAATAACTCACTGTAAGTCCATCTTGTACTCCAACGAAAAACGACCAAAAAACGCGCGCCAGGGGCTGGGCGCGCCGCAGGTGCTCCGCAGGAACAAGCGTCTCCGCGTGTACGCCCGAGAGGTGGACCGCGAGGGGCTCCGCATAAAGCTCACCTGCAAGCGGCCCCGGAGCCTGCCCCGCTGCGGCCCGGCCGCCGCCGCCCTGGCCAGCGACGCCGACGCGGAGGAGTTCGACTACGACGACACCGCGCGGGTCCGCTACTCCGAGGACGACGGCTGGGACAGGGACGACGAGTACGAAGACGACGAAGACGACGAAGACGACGAGATGGAGGTGGAAGACGGAATGGACGAGTTTGGTGATGACGATGGCGAGTTCGATGACGACGAGGGAGAAGAGTGGTTCTACCCCGAGCGGGGGCAGGTTATTCCGGCCCCCGAGGTTGACCTTGCCCCGCGGCAGTAGGGGCAGGCCGTAGGCGGCGGATGCGGGCGTGTCGGCGAGAACTGGCAGGAGAGGTGTGGTTGGTGACGACTGCGGCAGCGGCGGCGGCGGCGGCGGTGGCGTTGGGATGTGGTTTGTTGGGAGTGTTGGAGTCGGTACGAGAGACATGTGTGAAGGATGTCGGTCGTTTCATGTCGTTTTGGCCGTTTTTGTCCCGTAAGTGGTTGTTCGTGCTTGGAGAGAGCGCCGCCAGAGAACTAGGGCTGTGTCACCTACATGTGTGTTGACTGCAGCTAGAGCTTGTTGCCCTTTGAAAGGGGAGCTTGGAGAGGCGGTCTTTGACGATGTTTGGTTGCCTGCTGATCCGGAGACGCGCTGTTCTGTTGGGCGTTGTTCGTGCGCGGTATCTTGGCCTTACGAATTTGAATTTTGTTCCGATAGCCGACCGGCCGTTTGGGGTCCTGGGTGTGACAGGAACAAGAAACACGCAGAGGGTCAGGCGTCCCATCAAATGTCGTCACTTTTTGCCACATTCCGTGTCGCTTCCGGCTCAAGTACCCTTGAACCAAACAGAAACAATGAAGTAGCACAGCATCGGACCGTAGTTGACTACACGAAAGCTTTCTTGGCGAGTACGATGTTCTCGCCATCCGGTTTGGGCAGGGCGACTTTTTGTTTGCCGGAAGTCATCTACAACTGTGGGGGGCACACGCTGCTAAGTCGGCACAGAATGATCGAGGGATTTCGTATGTAGCGAGGAGCGTTCGTTTGGTCAGTTGGCCGTAGGACCAAAAACAGTTCCTTCCCAAAGGAGAGCCGGGCTGCCATATCTTTGGAGGACGACGATGTATATGGTCTTGGAGCCCGCAGATCCGATTCTGGCATTTTCGGAGAAAAAGTGCACCACGTCCTGCGTTCCTACCGAACACTCGCGGGAGGAGAAAAAGCCGCCTTAAGTCCCACACCAGTCAAACTTTAGGGACGGTGTTTTTTGGTTGGTCGAAATGGGTTGGCACATACCAGACAGACTTTTTTTTTTCGGACAAAAATATACACAAAACATTGAAAGACTATCCGTTTCGAGACAGAAGTTTTTTGTCAAAGTCCTGAGCCACCTGCTGTCGGGGCCTCCAGCAGTCGACCCTCCTTTGGCACCTTCATTTCACCGCTACATTGCTCCCCTTCGCGTTTTTTGTGGGGGTTCGCTTTCTTCCTGTCGGAGATATCTGATTTTCCTTCCACAAAAGTAAAGCTTCCTGAAGGGACGGAGGAAGCGTTTTTTTTTCAGGTTTCTGGATCATTTTTCTCCACAAACTTAAATCATTGCTACAAGCACACCCCGCGCGAATATCCCGCCACTGCAATAGAGGTACGGTGAACGAGTTCAATCCGAATAGGATTTGGTTTCAGCTCCGGAGAAAAAAAACAAAATACGTTTGTTGTGACCGCGACCGAATTCTCTCGGCTCGCGAAAGCCACGACATCGAAATCGCGGAGGTGCCTTCGCGCGGCCTGTATCTCGGGACTCTCTCTCTCTCTCCCAGCTATCGTCCTCTCGTCGTCCGTTGTATCGTCGCCTTCGCTCTTCCTCACTTCATAGAAGCCAGGCCGGAGTGCGTGAACGGTGTGGTACACACATAGACTACATGTTCATTGAAAGAAGAATGTTTTAACACAACATGGCAAGCAATATACTTACAGTCCGCACCAGTCCGCACCGACAAATGGCGCCTCGTCTACGGGATGATGACTACCCGCCGACTGCTGCTTTGAGGACAACAAACGGTGCTGCTGTCGAGCATCTCTAATATACAAGGCACGTGCGCTTTTTCTAGCAAGGGGATTTCTCACATGGTCACTCAAACGCCACCGCAACCGACGATAGCCTACATCCACCGGCCCCCCTTTCGAGTGACACACAATAACAACCAAAACCGACGGTAGCCTACATCCACCGGCCCCCCTTTCGAGTGACACACAATAACAACCGATCAAATTTATTTACGAAAAAGCGACAAGGAAGGGCAAATCGGACGGACACACACACGGCACCTACGGTTAGACGACGATGAATGGCTGAACGTTTTTTTCGTACAAAACCCATAGATTTCAGGGAAGGGAGCGTTGAGGGATTCGCGCTGATCGGAAGGGGGGGGGGGGGGGTCACCCAGACGCCTTGCGCGACATGTTCGGGTGCAAGAGAGAGCTACTCGAAACACATACTTCATGTAGCTAACGAACCCGCGCACAGGAACCATCCTCTCCTCTAGCTTGTTTCTACTACCACAAGAATCGTAGAGGCACAGCCCCGCGCCGGTTGGCTAGTGCTCTCTCTCGGGGTCGAAATTTCCGCTGAGAGAAGAAGAAGTAATAAACTATTTATGCGGGAGGCCTGCGCTTGAGATCAACGCGGTGTGTCCCCCAACCATCCCCCACCCCGAAAAAACGAACGCGTGCTGTTCTAGCCTCAAGCACAGCAAGCAGCCAGCAGCGGCAACGCGACTTCTTTTTTCCTTACAGCAGCAGTGCTGTATGTAGTCCATCCCCTCGCAAGCAAAAATCCGAAGAAGATCCCCCCCACAGGGACATTCACATTGAACATGGCGCATTCACGCGCCCTTGCATATCCGAATTTGCCTGTGATTTAATTGAACCACGCACAAACGCTGTAAATCCTCCCAACCCCCCCCCCCGTTACCAATTTCCCCTCGAGCGACGAAGCCCCCATACTGAAACCCAGCATACTATCTACCGTGGGTGACGGACGATACCACACACTGACGATAGCACCCCCACCTCTACAGAGTACGGCACCGGATGGATTGTTTTCTTTACGGCTCAATATACCCCAACACAATTAAAAAAATTCTCTCAGATCAAGTACAAAGGGAGGCATGAGATAAATGAACAACACCCGGGCGTGTTGGTAGATTATTCGCAAGCAAGAAGAGATTTTTCCGTGTGGTGTGGGGTGGCATTCGCATGGCCCACCTGCAGCACCCACCGCGGGCATAAAAAAGCGAGCAAAATTTTACAACGAAACGTAAAGAAAAAGGAAAACAGACAACCAATCCCTGCACCTCATTCCACGCTACTACAGCCCCCATTCCCTTTCCGCCTATTTTACCCCTTGTCCCAAACCTTGTGTCCTCTGAACATATGCCAACGGTGAACTCTCTCGAAAAGGCTGCAGATAGGTACCTCTCCCAGAGAGAGCGGGCGTGGTGGCCGGACGTCGCTCATACACACAGCGATCAAGCTGCCAACGGAGGTGAAACGGAAACGATCGTGCACAAGCTAATTCCGCGCCGCCCTTTCCGCTTGCGCCTGCCTCTTCTCTCATGCGGCACCTTCGACGCACACACACGCCCATTTGTATCAGGATCTTGTTGCCCTCTCATGCAACACCTTTGACACCCCGCCCCCTCCCCGTTTGTGTCAGGATCGTCTTGACCTAACGAAAAGGAAACACTCCCGCCTCGCACCCCTATCTTACTCCACCTGGCCGATTGCCAAGTCTAACTAATGACCCGTTGTGCCGTCGACGAGTACGCGCCACCAATACACCATACCGTACCATATTACACCGTACCGTCAAGCCGTTCCGCAATCGGCTCTCAAATCCAAGCGCTCTTCCACCCGCGTCACCCCCTGCCTGTCTGGCGACACTTAGGTAGGACAGCAAACACGCCGACGGAAGGATATCAGCGATAAGAAAAAGAACAGCAAAAGCAACAACAACATCCTCATCGTGTACGCTTGCGACAAATCAAGAAACGGCGAGCGTCCGGTACCCCCCCCAGTCGCCCCCCCCCCGTCGCCCAGCGAGAAACGCACCATTCCCCTTTTCTCTTCTTACATGTTGGCGTGCCCTTGATATGGATAAAAGCCTTCTGCTTGCCACCACCTGTGCGGTAGGCACGAACCTAAAAGGAGAAGGCGAGGCCCAGTCGCGCCTACGATCGAAACCTTTCGTTGTCGCTGACGTGTGTCGCGGTAAGCCTCTAGCTTAGATGCAGGCACTTGGTGTTGTAGCTGGTCTCAGCGAGGGATCCCACGCTGCGCCCCGCGGGAGGAGCGGCAAGCGACGCCACTTTCAACAACTTAGACGGGACAACAGTACCATACCACAAAACACACCACGGAACAGGCCAGCGCTACATACCATGGTACGGCGATACTTCGGAAGGTGCCAACACACACAGCGCCTGTCTCCCCCCGCCGCCAACCCGAAGCGAACCGAAGCCCCCCTCCCTCCCGCTTCAGTTTCCTGGACCCTAGTGCGCCAACGTGTAGACTTGGCGTCGCGTGCGCTAACGGTGTGGTATGGAATACCAGCGAAGGGCACATATACCGTCGAGGCAATAAAGCAGCAAATGGAAAAAAAGGACGAACGAAATCTCCGCCGGGTACGCCTGCCGCAATCCACCCATGCCTACCTCCGTCCCTCCAAACCAGCAACCATGTATGCTTTACACGCGACCGACCATCGAATCTGGCTAATTTTACCGCCGCCGACTCATTGCACCACCACTGCCGACTCAATGAATGCCCGTGCCCTGACAGTACTTCCAGTTCGCACATGTCTCTTGTATGTTCAAAAAGGGCACGCAACCCGACCGAAAACAACAAAAGTACAAGAACAACACGTTAAAAAAAAAAAAAAACGGTCACGGGTCAACTTTTGCCTGCCGGCCGCCTTTGACTAGACCACACAGAGAGACCCCGGGACAATTGGCATGATGGCAAGGCATGGCCCCCTGCCAAACCCACACCAACATGTATGTGTGGTCAAGTTCACGATTGATTCCCGCACAACACAAGTCGGCACCGTGTCTAGGAGGACCCGGTCCCAAGGGTATCCGTCGACTGACTTTTTACCAGAATCGGCACGGTACACCTGCGCAACCGTCTGTCGGGGGGAAGACAAGACAGGACACACATCACACACCAATGGCACACCAGATTTGTACTGTATCTCAGGCTTGGGAACAGTACTGCCGCACAAGTCAGAACTTTCGGGGGGAAGGCCAAGACGCACACCATGGCCACACCAGACATGTACCGTACCGCAGGCGGCGACGGGATGAACCGGGACCGACCGACCGACCGACCGGCACGGGGGGGGGGGGGGCACGAAGAAAACAGCTGTCAGTCGTGCGCGGGTTTTTGGCGGACTGATCCCCTGCCGGAGAGCCTCCCCGTACACACAAAAAAAAGGTAGTCTACGTACGTACACGCCGTGCCGCCCCCCGCGCGGTGTGGTGGGGTTCAAGAGAAATTCTGCAGCCCGAACGACTTGCCCAGCTTCTTCGCCGCGATTACCTGGAAAGCAACGCGACAAATTACGAGTTACAGGGTAGACACGACAAAGGAAGGGGCCGAGCGGAACACCCCGACCAGCGAAAAAGTGAGTTGTGTGAGTCTCGACACGATAGGGGGCGAGGGGTGCCGCAGTCGGGGTTGGGGGTGTGGGGGTACATACCTCACTCTTCTGCATTCGACCTTACGAGAGAATCAGATGGAGCTGGGATGGGATACGTGCATCAGGTCTTCGCCTTCGAGAACTGGAATGTGTTTGATCCTCCCCCTCTGTCCCTGCCATAGCTGCATGCGTAGACTATCTCCCTTTTTGTTTCATTGCTCTTTGCGCGTGTGTCTCCCCTCCCCAACCCCTCACAAAAAACAAGACACAGTGCATGAACTGCTGGATGGGGGGATCAATTGCTGTTGTTCTGGTAAGAGATCAGGGAGAACGGGGTGAGTGGGAGGTTGGCAATAGCCAGCCAGAAAGAGGGACAGCAACAGCAGCATATTGAGATGTACTACAGAAATGGATGCAGTATGCGGTGGAAAAATGAGCAACAATAGCTGTGAGACGACCCAAGGCGATAGTGGAGGCTACACCGACAATGAGCAGCGAAGGGAAACATACCAGACTAAATAGGAGGGTGCGTCACAAGGTTGGCACAAAAAACTCAAAACGCGGGAAAATTGCCGCGGAAGAAATTTGCGGCGAGAACGGCAGTGTAGTGGCTCCGGTGTGTCGACAGGGACGTGAGAAGCCAATGGTCTATGGACCAAGTTCCAAAAAGCAACTTTCAACCCCCCCGCCCCCGCCAAGGATGACGACCAGCTACAGCTCTGGTTCATCGATCTGAAACGTAGCCCAGGCCGGCGAAAAACCCGGCATATCGTTCCGTCCCCGGCTTTGTAGGGATGAGAGGTCAACGGTCTAACGTCAACGACTACGGCATACGTTTACATGAGTAACCCCCCTCACACAAGGCGAGGTCAATGGTCTAACGACTACGGCATGCACGACTATGAGTATACCCCCAACCCCCACCCCTTGTGTTCTGCCCTCCCCTCTCTCTGTCCTCACCGACTGGATGGCGCCTCTCAGCTTCCTCGTGGCGTTGAAGATTCTGAGCTGGTCGAGGTTCTTGCCCAAGTTGTGTCCGGCGAGGGACGCTCCCGTGGTGAGCAGCCACGGGTGCTCCGCCGCCTGGGTGGCCGTCATTCGCTTCGCCGGGTCCACCAGGAGGAGCTTCCGGATTAGGTCCTGTGTTGTGTGGGTGTTGGTGTGTGTGTGTGGGGGGGGGGGGGTTGGGTGAGAGTGTACCCAGAGGCGAACAGAAAACACGAGAGCAGACACGTTGACGGTGCATAACTTACAAGTTCGTGGGCGCAGAGGAATGCCAGCTGATCCGACCGCGCGCGTGTGTTGACATGTGCCTCATATTAACTAGGATCGGCAGCGTTAAACGGCTGACCCAACGAGTCAGCCTCAGCGCGGCTCTCGTGTAAAATGTGGTGTTTGCGGTTCCCCATGCGCCCATGCGTAGCAATCACCAGGCCAATGTTTAGGCACTCACTGCCGTCTGCGTGCAAAAAGGGGGTTCCCCCGTTTGGACGACGAGAAACGGACGCACAGCACGCGCACACCCCCCCGCAGGTGCCAACCATCAACGCCGTAGCCAGCCATCACATGGCAAACACGACCCAACACAAGGGCCCCACGAAGCACGCACAACTTTTCCCGACAAGCGCACAGACAAGATGCGTTCTGATGATGAATACCCCCCCCCCCCCCCCCCCCGGGCGGGGGAAAGCTGTCCCCCATACGCTGGGGGGGAGAAAGGGAAAGGGCGGCGCCCCCCTTGGACCCCAAGCGAAGGGGTGCTCCCATAACGGGCATTAAACATAGAACGCCCGGGGATGACCCAGGGGAAAAATCGCGGCTGGGTCTCGCCGCGGAAGGGGGGGGAACCCCCCAAGAAGGGGTAAAAAATTACCCCCCCGCTCCACCTGTCCAACGACTTTTTTTTTTTTTTTTTGCTGTTTCCGGGGAAAAACCCAGAAAAAGGGAGGTGAGCAAGGGCAGGACGGGGGCCACGAACGGGATAAATGGGCGAAAAACTGAAAAAAAAAAAGGAGGGTTGTTTTCAACCC